TTTCAGTAAAATATAATAATTTGTTTTTAATTCTTAATGATGTTGCGACAATAATGTTTTAAATTGTTATTATTACTAAAATAAACAAGCTATATAAATTGTAGCATTTAAACCCGATTTGAACAACATCTTTCGACTGGGAGCGTGGCGCCTCCTGTAATCGAGCTACTTCGAGGTCGGATTCAGCGGATGGTTTGAGGTCGGGAGATCTGGTGCAGGGTTTCTTACGTTGACCGGGTGTCCACACTAAGCACGGCGTTCAATATGGGCGTCCTGAAGGAGTTTGGGACGGCCAGGTTAGCCAAGGAGGGGCGAACCGGGCCAGGGGGGAAACCCAGCAGCCAAAAGTCCCCGCGTCGTGCAGTAGTGGGATCGCGCCTGGGAGTAGGAGTCCTGTCTCAGCCCGACCAATATAGCTAGACCTGGATCCTTTTTGACTTTTTTTTAATTAAAGTTATATTTTTTTATATTCTATAACCAATTTTAAATAGAAAAATCGCATGAAATAGAAATTAAAAAAAATTGATGCAATGATTTTTGTATTGCTAGAGTCGAGTACATTCAGGCCGCCATTTTTAGTCCAACTCACAAAAAATATTATAAATTAAAAAACAATAGATTATTGTAAAACTAGTAATGTATTTCTTTTATTAAAAAAAAAAGTAAGTGGTGATTACTATCCCTTGCTGATTTTTGTTATTGTTTATAAAAATTAAAGGCGAAATAGGAGTCTTGAGATTTTACAATGCTTGTTCAGAGATGGCAGCATCTTGGTAGTAGCTGAAAAGATGCCATTTTGTGTTTTGATTACTCAAGAGGTTTCCAAATAATTAGGTACGTGGTACGTACTTAATGCTTTTTGAGTAAATGCAGAATGTAGATGGTAGAGGAAGTGAAGAAAACATCTTAATTTTTTTGCCTCTTTGACTGTCGTCAAAAATAACTCCTCACTTTAATTGTGTGGTTTTTCAGCTTTTGAAATGTTATATGAGCAGGCCGGCTCTAACATTTTTCGACTGTGTGCAAAACCCTGAGTTGGCGCCTCCCCTTTATCTAGCCTAACTACTACATTTTTTAATAAGATCTAAAAAATAGGTATACTAAAAGAAACCACAGAAAAAAATTACAAAAGTCTGGGTATACGCCACCAATTCAATTAGGCATTCCAAACAAATGAATTACCAGTGGGCAGGTTTGGTATATCTAAGGGTGGCGACATATAGTGTATTCTATCTACTTTACGTAAAATCATGAATAATGGATTACATTTAAATATTTTATGTCAAACACAATAAAAATAATATTTAAAAAACCCACCTATACATTTCTTCATAAATTGGCAGGCTTGGCGAGTACTACTTCGAATAAAAATAGCGTGCAAGTTACAAGACTATGTCGCTACCCCCCTTAAATATACAAGAATTTCCCACTGGCACCTATTGTTTGACAGGTCGTTGGAATGCCTAATTGATCTCTTGATGACTTTGGTGTATATGCAACCCACATTACATTTATGCATTGTTCGTTTCAAACGGCTTTCTTTATTAATATTTTATGCATTCAATTTGGATGTTTTGTAAGATTTTTTTCAAATAGTTATAATATTAATTAAGGTACTTAATAATATAATAAACTACTGCGTTTTGGGGAATCTTCGAAAAAATAATTTCTGTACAGATTATTTTTGCGAGTATTAACTATTAAAGGATAAATGATATTTACTGAGTACATGCAGGTGGACTTTAGAATTATATAGGGTGTCTCTAAAACGTTTACAAAATTTTACCACATATTCCTGATGTTAAAATAATCCGAATAAGCATCTTATATTTCGAAATTGCTTCGTTTCAGAGATAAAGGGTGGTAAAGTAAAAAATAAAAATCAAATTTAAAAAAAAAAGTAAAAAGTATATTGAAAAACGTTGGTTTTATTGACTTATGATTAATTACAAGGTGAAAATTCGGTTAATTTGAGGTTTAACTATACGCATTGTTAGTTAAAAAAGTAAAAATAAAAAGGACAGATATTGAAATATATAAAGAATACAGAAACGTATTGACTTCAGTTCTTTGAGGGTTTTGGCATGTGTTTTTTTCTTTGTTTTTATTTTTTTTTGTCGAGAATAAACGCCTCTGCGGCTCTAGATTTTTATTATTTGAAGTCTTCTTCGCTAAAGGCAGCAAGGGCATGTCTTTTTGATTTTTAATCGCGTTAAGCGTTGGTCCTAATGGTACTATAATATTCCTTGATTCCTTCCAAAGAATCCACGTTAGCAAGATGTTCTTCAAACGTTTTTAACAATTTCTGTTTTTCCTCATCCATATTTATATCTTTGTGTGGCATGGGATGACTAACCGATGTTATAAGCACTGAAGACTCGTGATCCTTTTCATTGATGTCAATGAAAAGATTATCTAAAAAGAATCTTTCTTAATAAACTAATTATAGACATAAAACCAGAAAAATCTATTACCATCACCCAAAATACTCTTAACATCAAAAACCACCTCTAAGTTACTTTTAAAAACTGTCATAAAACGATCTATATATTAGGCATTTCAAACCACGTGACTTGCACACAGCGATAGTTTATTTTTTATTTTGGGAACTATGATTGGCTAAGAATAATACCACAGTACCACGTCCAACTATGAAAAATTCAATAATTTTGACCAATATGTAGTAACCGTCAAACTGTTAAAAAGTGACAAAATGCCTAATAGGTAGAACAATAACCCTTAACCCATAACCAACTAAAAACTATAGAGTTTACTAAAATAAACATACATAATAATTATAATTTTGTAGGCAAGTCAAATTTTTTTCTCCAAACAATGTCTTTTATTTTGAATTAAGCTTTGGTAGCTTACACAATATGTCCCAGATTCCCAGATTTGGTGGATATACATTTATTACTATCCCGAAAACGATCTATCACAGTTACAGGGTTGCTTAAAATAGAAAAGTTTTAGAGATTTTATGACAAATTCAAGTTTGGTTTCAGAATTCAGTTATTTTTTGTTTGCATACCATCAGAATGTTTTCCCTTGACGTGCTTTCTTAAATTAGACACATTTGTAAAACTTATTTTACATTCCAAACATACAAAAGTGCCAGATACACCATTCTTCTTCACAGCTAATTCATTTATTTTATCTAAAAATAAGTAGCACAAATAGTTAAATAGGTACTGTGTGCATACAACATTTTCAATGCTTACCCGGGTGTTTTTTTATCACATGAGCCCTCAAATTGGATACTGTCGAATAACTTTTTTGGCATTCGCCACAAATCATCTTTGTCATTTTTAATGAGAGATGTACTTTTTCTATCACTTTTACTATACAAAATAAATATTAAAAGAAAAACAGGAAAAAAACAAGTCCAGTAACTTAACCTCAACTGGGTAAATTGAAATTGAACCTTCTTACAAGTTATAAAACCGTTAAAACGCAACACCCAATACGGCAAGCGTCATACGGGTTGCATATACACCAACGTCATCAAGAGATCAATTGAATTGGTGGGGTATACCAAGACTTTTGTAAAAAATTTACTTACCTAAAAACTAATTTTAACATAAACTTATTTTCAAACAATGACTATATTTATCATGACGAAGCACATTAAAATTACAAAACATTCCTAGAGTTATCCCTTTTATAGATTTTACTTTATAGCCCAAGAGCCCACTGCAAATTTTTACCGTCATCTGATAACGAAATGAAATATACCCCAAAAGCATGGAAAAATATTGTACTTTACTAAATGGCACCTGTGCCAATCCCAATCCTGAGCAAAGTGGCTTAAAAAAATTATTTTATAATAAAAAAATCACATATAAGGCATGACAGCGCTAATTTTGTTTGCCCTTAAAGTTTTCCAGAAAATATTATTTAAATATATCTTGATATATATCGTTAAAGGGAAACATTTTCTTCCTCTTAACATCGCACAAAAACATCTATCCACGATTAGTAGGTAAATATCATTAAAAATATGAATCAATGTTCGCTGATTTAAACATTTATTTGTATGCCTATTGTTGTGATTCATTTTCACAGGTTGCCATAGAAACGACAAAAAAACTACTATGATTATGGTTTAAAATAATTGTCTAACAAGATTTTATAATTATTATTGACTATCTCTGCAAATGGTTTATACAATGCCATCCTTCTTCCTTTCATACATAAACATGGTTTAAAAGGTAGGTAAAAATATTAATAATTCAGGTTTAAAAGCTAGGTTCACAACAAATTAGGATTGTAATTTTCAGGGAAAATATAATTGTCGCTGTCATGTTTTATGTGATTTTTTGAATATAAAATAATTTTTTTTAACCACTTTGCTCAGGTTAGGGATTGGCACAGGTGCAATTTGGTAAACTACAATGTTGTTACATGCTTTTGGAGCATATTTCATTTCGTTATCAGATGACGGTCGAAATTTGCAGTGGTCTCTCATACTATTATGTACGTATTAAGGTTTGCGAAGCCGGCGCATTTTGCTCTATAAACAAGTCATTTCAAGTTTCCATGTTCTTGTTGAATTGCATGAACTGCACAATTGCTTGAATGTTATAACAATAGGATAATTTAAATAAAATATTTATTCATGAAAATAGATAGGTATTGTATTTTATTATATTAATTTCCTAAATAGATATCCTATAGGAACACAATATTTTAAAATATTTTAAAAACATTTTTTCTTTAAATATTACTAAACGATTTATTTGAAATATTTAATAAACATTTTTAAATATTTTTGTATTTTGGTGGATAGGATTGCCTTAACGTCCCTTTGCCTCTAGATCCGCTACCTTCCCCATATAAAGCTCCAGCGCCCACTGAGAGCGGTATCGCCCCTGTTGGGAACATATGCAACCAGTTAAAGTTTTTTTTATTTAGAAATAATTTTAAACCCTTTTAAAACCTATTTTACTTGTTGTATTGAATGTTTTTCCAATGTTTATATTTAAGAGTATCATATAATGACCTGTAATTCTTGTTTTTATTTGATTTGCAGGTATTTTCTACTATTTTACGTAATAACATTAAATATGATCACTAAAATAAGCATGTTAATATTTGACCAACTAAAATAATAATCCCATTAAACATCTTACAAATTTAAAAAGAGTCCCTTGGACAATACCCAAAATTTTCCGTCTTAATAATATCAGCAACTCTTTCTCCTACCATTAAACAAGGTATCGACGGGTGTCCAGCAATTGGTGTAGGAAAAATACTGGTATCGGCTATCCTCAAACCTTTCACACCAAAAACTTTCAAATCAGAATTCACAACCGCTCCTTTTTTGGTATCGGTGCCCATGGGACACGTACCAACAGGGTGGTAAGCAGTCAAGGTTGTTTGTCTCAAAAAACAGTACCAATATTCTTTTGATTTGAATTCCAGATGTTTGCAGGGCACTAGAGGATCGCCCATATATTGCAAGTTAAATTTTTTGTAAGATTCCGTTTGAGTTAATTTAAAAACGAATTCAATTCCTCTGTACATGACATCGATATCTTCATTTTTGTTGTCGGATAATAACCTCGAATCTATAGCAGGAAATTTGTAGGGATCTTTAGATTTCAATCTGATGGTGCCGAAAGATTTTGGAGCTACATTGCATACTAGAAACCCTATAGCGTTTTTGGTTGTTCCCCAATAAGATTTAAAAGTTTGGTTGGTCCAACCTAAGAGTTTCTTTTCTAAATCTGACGCTTGAGCCAAATCTGATATAATTTCCAAATTTGGAGCTGACTTATTGGAATTATTTATATCATAGAAACCAACAGCTTGAGCTAGAGTGGGTGCCGTTAAGGTTCCTTCGCCTTTTAAGTAGTCTTCGACTTGTTTGGTTAGGCTTTGCGCTTGTAATGTTAGATTAGATGAAAAAATTAAAGCTCTGCTGGCTGGATGATCTTTAAGTTTGCTTCCAACTTCTAGATCTTCAATTAAGGGTATGTCTAATTCTTCTAGATGCTTTTTGGGTCCTACGCCGGATAACATTAGTATCTGAGGACTAGATATAGCTCCTGCTGATAGTATTATCTCCTTTGCAGCTTTTACTCTATAAGTTTTTCCTTTTTTGGAGAAAATTACACTTTCAGCAATTTTAGTAAGTTTATTAATCTCGATCTTCGTTACGTAACTCTCTGTGGAGATCTTTAAGTTAGATCTCTTCAAGAAAGGAGTGATAAAAACAGATCCCATATCTTCTCTGGTACCATTTTTAGTGTAAATTTGAAAAATGGAGGTGCCGATCGTATCAGCACCATTATAATCTGTTGTATCAATTCCTAATTTCTTGTTAGCTTCAACAAAAATGTCGCTAAGGAAAAAATTAGGTACTCTTTGTTGAACGTCCAATAGTCCAGTGGTACCGTGAGAATTTAGATCTACAGCTGCTTTTTTGTTGGTCCAGTGGAACTTTTCTGATTTTTTGAAGTATTTTAAGACATTTTTATAGGACCAAGATGGATCTTTTGCTATTTTCGCCCAATGGTTGTAGTTTTCTGGATGTCCTCGACTATATATGACGCCGTTTATTAGGCTTGTACCGCCAACACCTTTTCCACGGTGAATCATACAGGTTTGATTAACGGTACCTAAAACACAATATATTTACTGATTTTTTCTAAAACGGGATGTTTATTTTATTATAGAAAAAGAGTCTGTTCGCTAGCAAAGCGAAGTGGACCACTTGTTTAGGAGAACTTATTATTAGTTAATGAGTTGGTCGAATATACAACTCTTATCAATAATTCAATACTCATCAAAAATCTTCATGGGTCAAGATTAGAAGTAACTTTTGGAATATTATATTTTTAATCACATTGCATCTTGGTACGGGAAGATACATTTTTCGCTGCCCGATGTCTCTAGCAAGATTTGCCCAATTTTTGAGCTTTTTAACAAATTTGTGGAAAACAGTAGATACAATAAATAAATTCGTACATTTTACTACTTAAGTTTCTTGTATTTGTAAAATTAAAGATTTTCATTATATTTTCCGTTGCTTTGTTTTTTTTGGTAGGCGAAAAACAATTGTGTGTTACACATGCAGAAAACGCTTTAGCAGCCCTTAGCTATCAGCTGCCCTTGCTTCGCTTCGCTCGCTAATGCAGCTAATAGCAGTGGGCTGCTAAAGCTCATTTTCTGCCCTGGTGACACAATATACTATTCAGTTCGCTTTGCTAACAAAGTATAATAAAAAATTCAGTTTACCTAAGCACGCAGTACTTTGAGGTACTGTTTTATAACCCCAACTGTATTCTGAGAAACTGTGGAGGTTGAAGTACCTGGTAAATTGAATGAAACCGTTGTCAGTAAAATTTCCAGCTTCCAAAACAAGAACAGACCATTTTTCAATTTCTGATAGCCTATTTGCAATAACCGTACCGCTGGTACCACCCCCAACAATAACATAATCAAAGGTACCATAATCTAAAAAAAATTAGCAATTATTTTTTTATATAAGTTTTATTTTCTAGTTTTATAAAAAATTACCTTTTATTTTATTTTCTGCTTTAGGTTTATAGAATTTAGCATCGTTTGGTAACTGATATTTAATAGCATTTTGAATACCTATTTTGATAATATTTTCTAAACGTTCAACTTTAGATACATCACTTAATACAATTTTAATTAAAGACAAAAAGACAAACAGTTTTGATTTAGTTAAAACCATGTTGAAGAAGACTAATTTAAAATTGAGATGTTCTTATTTATAAGACAATAACAATTGCTGTTAAAAACTAATAAATAATACTTACTGTTAAGTACTTTTACTTGAAAATACCATTGAATAATTTTTCGTTCTAAATATCCTTATCAGTGTTTCAATATAAAGGTATATGTATACTTGTCACTCATTATTTGTAATAATAATTTATTTCTAAAATGCAATAATTACCTTTCATAAATTATTTATTTTTGTTAACTTATACTATACAGAGTGTATTCATTTGTATTAAAGTACACCCAAAATGGGCACAAATCTAGATCATGTAGTCGCAAGTCCCAATAAAAAACAAACTGAAAACATTTGTACTGTTTTAATAATTTCTAATTAAAAAGATATAAAAAAAAATCAATATATAAAACACTAGTCGTCTAAGAACTCGTCACCTCTTCATCGGGTATCTTACTAAAATATTCAAACTTCAAAACGTCCGACATTTTCTCGGCAATCATAAGCGCAGCAACATCAGGATGGCCAGAAACTTGAGTAGGGAAAACCGAAGCATCAATAACTCTCAAACCGTCGATTCCAAAAACTTTAAGTTTAGAATCAACCACAGCACCATTTTCCTTGCTGGCACCCATCGGACAAGTACCCACTGGGTGGAAAGCAGTTTGTGCTGTCTGTCGAATGAAACAGTACCAATATTCCTTAGATCTGAACTCAAAAGATTTACAAGGCGGTAGTGGTTTCGATAGATACTTCAGATCTAACTTCTGGTAGGCTTGGGTCTCACTCATGCTTAAAATCAACTGTATACCTTGATAGAGCACCTCGATATCGGTATCGTTCGGATCAGAAAGTAAGTTAAGATCTATCAAAGGGTACTCATAGGGATTATTGCTCTTCAGTCTTACAGTACCTGCGGAGTTTGGTAAAATATTTTCTATGACAAAAGATATATGGGTGTTATTAGAACCCCATAGGGCATCGTAAATTTCAGGCTTGTAACCCATAAGTTTTTTCTCAACATCTGAGTACTCAATAATATCAGAAAATACTTCAAGGTTGGGCTTTTTGCCAGGGGGCGTGTTAATATTATAGAAACCTACACCTTGGTTTACCGTTGGAGCTGTGAGAGTACCCACACCTTTTAAGTAGTCTTTTATTTGATCATCTAAGCTTTCGGCAGGTATTTTAACATTAGAAGAAAACCTCAGATCTACAAAAGGTTGGTCGCGTAGGGTACTACCAACATTTAGATCTTGTATTAAATCTATACCCATATCTTGAAGGTGTTTCTTAGGTCCAATACCAGACAGCATTAAAATTTGAGGAGTAGATATCACGCCTGCTGATAGTATAATTTCTATATCAGTTTTTACTCTGTAGGTACTACCAGAATTAGTAAAAATAACGCTGTGAGCTCGCTTAGTTTGCTTATTAACTACTATATTAGTAACATAACTTCCAGTTAGTACCTTCAAATTCGGTTTATCCAAATTAGGTTTTAGAAAAACCGTACCAAAATCTTCTCTGCGACCTTCTTTGGTGGAGTAGTACTGATAAATTGATGGTCCGATTTGATTAGGCCTGTTCATGTCGGTTATATCATATCCTAATTCTTTATTTGCTTCTAAAAAGGTGTCGGTAAGGTAGAAATCTGGTACTCTATGTTGAACATTAAGTTCACCTTCGGTACCATGGTACGACAACATTGCTTCGGCTTTTTCGTTGGTGCTATGAAAGTTTTCGGATTTTTTGAAGTATTGTAGGATTTTTGGGTAGGACCAGCTTACGTCTCCTGTTATTTTCGACCATAGGTTGAAATTTTGCGGATGGCCTCTACTGTAGATAGCGTCGTTTATTAGGGTGTTGCCTCCTACTCCTTTGCCGCGCGGTACCAAGCAGGATTCATTAATAAGACCTAAAAAATAAACATTTTAAGTTTAGTATAAATATTATTTCTTTATAAAACCTAATTCATGTATAAAAGTGTATCAATATACCGCAAATTATTATACAGTGTGTTCAAAAAGTATCCTAAACCGAAAACATTTTCAAAAAACCTGAAAAACGTAGATTTCTAGTTTTAATTTTCTACATTGTAAAAAAAAATTAATTATACAGGGTGATCCACATAGTTGGTGACATTTTTGGATTATTTTTAGCTAATTTCGTTAAAGTATGACATTAAGATTCAATGGAGATAATTTGTAAGATAAGAGCATAAAAAATCAATTTTAATAGATATTAATTTAAACAATAATTGAATCTATACCGGTAATAGTTGATTCTATTTTAAATACCCTTGTTGTATTTAACAATAGGTACCCTAAACGTTGAATACATTCTTGTTTAACCTTGTTTCTTGAGAAATACTATTTATTTCTTTTCTGGTTCTCTCTTTTAATTCTTTAATATTATCCGGTTTGTAAATAACATTTTTCAAATGGCCCCCACATTAAATAATCCATAGGATTTAGGTCTGATGACCTCGCTGGCCATTCAATGTGTCTACGTCAACCAATTAGGAAAAATTTCATCAAGATACCTTCGAGCAACTAAGGCATAATCAGGAAGCACGCCATTCTGTTTGAACCATAAATTTTCATCAGAACGTCCAGGATTAGTAGTATTATTTTGAGATAATAGATTTATGATCTACACTTAAGTTTAGAAAATGTTTTTGGTAAATCTTTGTATAACCCTTCAGTAACCTTTACATTGCAATAGAGGCTAGAAAGAGAAACTATTAGCTAGACGTGTTTAAGGTTTTTCTGAAAATGTTTTTGGTTTATGTAATAATTAATTAGTTCCATACTTTACAGACACACTGTATATAAAGTAAAATTATGTATGTACTATTATACCATCAAGAGTTATAGTATGTATGTAGTATAATAAAAATCTGAAATGTTAAAAGGAGTTAATTTTTAATTCTACTAATATGCATTTTTCTTATTAGGGCGACGATTTGAAAAAATTGAGTAAATTTAGTCACATTCTATAACCACCATTTGTTATCTTAGTATCTTATAAGTCTGTACATTAAGCAGTTTTGAAATCAATTATGATAATTTAATTTGGGGTCTGCATTATTCTCTATTTAAAAAAAAATTGCTTGGCAAACCTGTAATATGTTTTTAAAATATTTTAGGGTTATATATAGTATTACCAAACTATTCTAAAAATAAAATACTAGGTCTTCTATTTAACAAACACAAATTTTTATTTGCCAGGCAAAAGCTCAACACCCTTTATATCCAAAAATATTTTTAAAATATGTATCTTTCAAATCCATATAATCTTTATTTAAAATTTTTTTACGTGTCTATAACACAAATTGAAATATTAAAAAAATACGCACTAATGGGACACCCTTGTATATTTGTTAATAAATTATCATTGAAAAGGTTGTGCATAAAATTTTGTATGTATTTCGGGTGTAAACAGCGTAAATAGCGCCTCGGGCTTTTACTTACACGTTGCGGTCCGTAAACGCCTGTTTTACGCCCTTAATACATAAATAACTGTTATGCTATGGTATTAACTTTTATTATGAAACCTAGAAAATTTTACCGAGTATCTTTTTAAATTTCCAAGTTTGCTAAAAAATTAAGCTGTTTTAAAATAGACATCATTCATTAAGAATAAGCTAAAACGATATTTTTATTACCCAGATTTCCTATCTATTAAAGTAAAAAAAGTATATAGCGTCGTACACGTTTTAAGGTTAGGTTCACAAATTTGTATCTTGCCCCTATAAAATAATCTTTGGATACTTTTAGTTCGATTTACTTACCTAGACATCCTGTTTTTTGAGGAACGGTTTTGTAGCCCCAATTTAAATCAGAATACATATGAAAAGGTTTTGCGAATCTTAAAAATTGTTCGAAAGTATCGTTGGAAAAATAGCCGGCTTCTAGAAGTAATACTTGAAAGTTCATTTCAGAAAGTCGACTTGCAACTACGGATCCACTAGTTCCACCTCCAATTATGACAAAGTCGTACCGTCCATATTCTAAAATAATAGAAAGTTAAAAATTAAATCCACTCTCCAAAGTTTATCGATTAATTTATTTTTAAAACGATTTCTCCAGAAGAAAAAATATCACTTGAAACAGCAAAAATTAATGCAAAATTACTGCACAAAAAGTCCTGCGAGAGATATGAATTAGAGTATCTATGATCTATTTTGCAAGAGGTGTCATTTTTGGCCTCGTTTTTGTTTTTAGAGTGTGAAAAGTATCGTTCAATACACGCCCGTAAATGTACTTCATTTTTCAAATTGCATCATACTGTATGTTATTTTGCATGATCGAAATTCTAGTATTTTATAAAATAATCTTTATTATAGTTCTTACCTTTTATCATATCCACATTATCTCCATGATACATTCTCGCATCAGTATGCAACTGATAATTCTGAGCACTCTGTAAACCATCGTTGATTAATTTTTTGTAATATTCTAAAGTTTCTTGTCCACTACTAATATTTATTATCGATAAAATCAGAAACAGTAATTTATAATTCGCACCCATAATTATTCATCCAAATATCAATTGAAAGTCTCGTATCATGTCTGGCCAAATAGGTATATAACCTTTCTTCAAAATTGTAGTAGGTACGCTGATAATTATTTTAAAAAACTTGTTTTCTATATCTTTTTTTAACAAAAAATCAAAAACTATTTAGCTTAATGAAACGACAAGAGCGATTAAAAAGAATCAATAATTAGACCAGTTTTTAATTTCTATTTCAGTGAACTGTTCCATTATTTGTGTAGCCTCTATACAGGGTGTTTCAGAAAGAATGCTCAATAATTTATTGAATGGTTTAGAAACATAAAAATATTAATATTTTGCAATATGGTGTTTTAAACTACAGCAGCGCTGTTCTTGACATCCTTCGCACTTACAATTAAAGAAGTTATATATCATGACAATTAAAAAAACTTTGGAGATTATTCACGATTAAACGAGAAATTTAATATTAAAATCTCAAAAATTACACATTTTTAATCAAATATTTTGACTTATGTGTACAGGGTTGCCAAGTATTTTAATATGTAAGAAGATATAATTAATTTGTAAACTCGTAAATTATTATGCTTTGTTTATTTAAATAAACATAATAGAATTTTGTGATAAAATACCAGAATCTGTATTAAACATCGCTCCCCGACACAGATCAAAGAATAATATCTGTTCATATCAGCTCATACCATTGTTTATAAAATTAAACAGCAATCCTTTGTAAGTTTTTAAAACTTACCGACATTTCACATGATATTTTTGAGTAATTTCTAAAAATACAATGTTACAAAATAATTTTATTTGACTCATTCAACATAAAATTTCACTCTAAATTCGCTGCTACCAAGTCATACTGTTAATCCCCAGACTACTTAGTTTTTTAAATATTACGGGTAACGGCCGAAATAAATTAATCTTGGCAACCCCGTTTATTATCCAGAAAAGAAATGTCAAATATTAAAATTTTCAAGTTTTAGGTTAAATTTAATGAAAAACTTGTTTTCTTATTTTAAAAAAGTATTAAATTAAAATATATAATTGATTTATACTTTTTTTCATATTTCCAAACCTAAGGTGAGTTAAAAATCATACTTAATATCATTTTAATCAAAAAAATAAAGTAAAACTGGTCAAACCTTAGAGTAAGTAAGTAGTAAAGAGAGGACTGTAAACAATGTTTATGTCGCCATGATAATATGGCCGAGAATTCTAATTAGAGAGAAATAGATTAATATCTCTATCTCTTTGTTTGTATTTGTCAGTTTTACAAAGCTTTTCTCAGACAATTATTCCAGTGTTTAATTTAAATTTGTTCGTGTTGTGGTGTTAAAAGTAATTGTTATTAATATTATATTCATAACAAAAAAGTCATATTTTGTTTTCACTTCATTAAAACATTTTATTTTATATTCTACTTGGTCAACATTTTCGCATTTAAAATGACCCAGCGAAATTGTTTTACGGTACGCTACTGCTGAGAATTCAAAAACGAGTGAGAAATCCTTCATTAGAAAGAGATACTGATTATATGATAGCGACATTAATATTGTATAACTTTATGCAGTGGTGGCCTATCTGCTATTATATTATCTAAGGGCCAAACAATGTGTCCCTAAAGTCGAACGTAACCGAATCGTCTCTGCACTGGTATATCCATGATAAAACCGCAACCTCAAAGTTTTTAGTAAGTATATTACAAGTATATTCCAAGTCATCCATTTAAAAAATCCTTAAATTAAAAACCGAACATACATGACACCAGTCAATTCATTAAACGTACACGCAAGTAGTTTGCGATTAATACCCACTCGCAGTTTTATGCGAGTATTCGAATGTGTTGCGTATAACCAAGAATACACAATTTGCTATTTCGTTCGTAATGTCTGACTTTACGAATGACCTTGAAATTTGCGAGTTGTCAAGAATAGGGCTGCAGGGGTAGTATTCTCGAATCACGAATACCGACATTCGCATACGTGTTTTACAATGTCTCACTTTGTTGAACGAAAACCAAGTGAGACAAATCATAAATCTCGCATGCGAATCTATATTCGTGACTCGAGAATACTACCCCAGGTCTTCAACAATACCCGAAACCCACGTGATCTGATAACCATTAAAAACCCATCGAAAGGGCCTGATTTGACGTAAAAGTAACTAAACTGAACTGTCAGAAATGTCACTGGCGTTCATTTGGGGACTGACTATATTTATATTATATTTGTTTACATTTTATAAACACCTTTATTCCATTTTTCATTTAATATTAATAAAGCAATTAGTTTTTCTATAGAGATTATTGGTGGCTTAATTCTTTTTTGTTGGTAAGTACAAATTTATTTACTGTAACTCGTAAAAGTTAATGACTGTATATAATTTATTTCAGGTAATGTTACACAGAAACAAAATTATTTTATATTCGTTATTGTATTCGAAAATTTGAGGAACATTTTCTAGGTGAATAAATGGAATGTGATTCTTTTTTGTCGTCATTAACAAATACTTGTTCAAAATAATTATAAAAAAGGAAAAAGCTCTAAAAGGCCCACAGTAATAACAAAAGCTGTTGAAGATGTGCAAATTAACATGGTGCAAATTCCCAATAAATTAGTAAAAAAAACAGCACCTCAAACAGGTATGAACGGTGTTTTAAAGACTGACTGGCGAGTAAAATTCAAAACATTTTTTAGGTTTGTCGCTACGAACTGGCCATAAAGTATTGAAAACATTTCTGATAATGCATCCCCTATAAAGTTTCGGTACTGCAACAATCATTTTACCTTAATTTTGTTAAACCTATCTATGGAATATTACTGATCGCTCAATTCAAAATCGTTTATGTGACGTTTATAAACTGGAGCACCTATATTAAATGAAATACACAATATAACTGAGAAGAAACTGCATAATGTGTTCAAAAAAAGAACGATTAATGCTTGTATTAAAGCTGGTGGTAAAGATTTTGAACTGATAGGTACTGTGAATTAGTATAGTTTGTGCACCACCGATTACTACTCAATATCCTTTTAAATAAAATAGTTGGTCTGCCTTTATAATTTAAAGTGAGAGCTGTAAGGTAAAACAAATATGTTCTCGTTACATTAATAATGTTAATATTGTTTTGTATAGGTACATATTAGTAACATAAAGTATTTCGTAAATGGTTTAAACTCTGTAACAAATAAATAATAGAACAAACTTAAAAAATTATTTGTTTATTACTTCCCATTGCCCAGGCACAGTTCCAGTAAGTTTTAAATTTTTTAAAGTTACAGCTGTAGCTAAATATCTTAGAGTCAATCTAAAGTAAATAATTTTTAATTTTATTCATATCTTAATTCATAATATTTTATGTTCATAACTTTGTTGCGCCCTGTTCGGGAAAAGGTTGTTTTTGTAATAACTAGTACGAACCATATTTCAGTTTATTATTCTTTTCGTTAAATATAAATAGCTCAGTTTTTAAGGTTATGTTAATTATATCATAATTTAAAAAATTAGATTATTGCATTTGACTAAATGTAATTAAAATATCGAATTCTAACATCAAAATACAATAATGTAAAACACCTCTAATTAATATTATGATTTTGTGTTGTAATTCTAACAATTACCTAACTGAATTTTGTTCTCGTAGTTGCAGACCATAAAAAAGAAGATCTATTTTGTAATAAAATACCTACGGCACTGGCTCACATCTAGGGATTTTTACTTTTATTTTCACCAATCGCTGTCATGACGATTTGGTCACGTGGGTTTTCGGTATTGTTGAAGGCCCAGTACTTCTTGTACATAATAAAACCGCTTAATATTTGAACTTTTCTCAAATGCACAAAACTTAAAGTCCTTACCTATTACTTCGCACGCATTTACCAGATTAACCATTTTTTAATATTGGTTAAATTAGATTTTACACAAAAAAGTCAAATCTCCAAATCAATGTCCGACATTACCTCAACCGAGTATTTCCAAATCGGTGGATAGGGAGGCGAGGATTGATGGAATGGCCAGCACGATCATCTGATCTGACATCATTATACTTTTTCATATGAGGATATGTCAAAAGTATTGTATACAGAACTAATCCTCTCGACCTAGCTGACTTAAGAAGACGAATAACGCTTGCGATTAGATCGGTCACTTCTGAGATGTTGAGTAAAATTTGAAGATATTTTTATTTCAGATTAGGATGTTGTCAAGAGGTTCGCGGCGAGCATTTTGAACATCTCCTACATTGAGATGTGTTTTTTGTTTGTTACATTATTAAGAAAAAAACAGTATTACTTATTAGTTTTTGAGAGTGTTGTAATGATTTTCTGTAATAAAATTATTTTATTTTATTAATGTTAATTTTTGCAATAAATCGGAAAACATTTAATATTTTTGAAACAGTTAGGTATAGTACATAACATTTGTCTAGAATTTTCTGAAGAATCCAAAAATTAAAAAAATAAACAGGGTGTTGCATTTAAAATAAGAAAGTTGGTATTGGCCACTATTACATGATACACCCTATATAAAAAGTTTTTTAAATGCGCAAATAAAAATACCAATTGATGTCCGAGCGTTTTTCCGAACACGCCCCCATTTATTTATTACAGAATTTATTCCATTTGGCTGTTCCACACTGTATGAATAAATAAAGTCTGACTTATCTGTCAAAAGAAAAAGTTTATTACAGTAAAAACCTTGGAAACATGATTAAATATAAACGAAAACTATTATTAGGCCGATGAGATGTATTAAAATTTTTATTTTAACTACAAATAAGCATTGAAGGATGAGGTATAAATAAAATGTCAACCTCTAAAAACCTGTACTACGTTTATTTAATTTAATACTACAAAAAGGAATAGCAGACAAGCAGAGCTGATATTAATTGCTATCCCTGATAGTGTAGACAAATTATTAAAAAGAACAAAGATTAAATAAATTGTGGTACAATCGAACAAAAGTATAAATATAAATTTTTATGCACGTAAATTTACATTTTATTATTACATAGAAAGATTATCTTGACTAGATATTTTCTGACATCAAGAGACATTTGTACTTTTTCTTAAAAATAATTGTCGAGAGATGTTTTAGTTTAGGAGGAACCAGGTTATATAGTTTAAATATCATATAAGATAATGAACCTTGAAATTTGGAGGTACGATGGTGAGGTGGAGATATATGGCCTCTAAACCTTGTATGCACATTATGCACATCACTTCGAAATGTAATTTTGTTATAGAGATAAGGAGGTGACTTTAATAAAATGATCTTGTGATACAACGTTACCATGTGTAGTTTCCTTCTATAGTTTGTAACTAATTCTTTCGTATTTTTTTATACCATATATGTAGCGAAGACAAGCATTTTGGACTCTTTGAATACGATTAATATCCACACAGGGCCCGTAGATGACATCGCAGTAATTAAAATGACTGAGAACCATTGTATCACAAAGTAGTATTTTTGTACTTTGATCTAAAACATGGCGATGCGGGCAAAGCATTTTCAAATTTGCGTAAGCTCTTTTTATACAATTATTTACATGGCTTCTAAATTTTAAGTCAGTGTTAAGTTGAAGTCCCAGATTTTACACAAGCCACCAAAACACCATCAATACTCACAGATAATTGCTCTGTTAGTTCTTTTTTATTTTTACCAAATACCAGTATTTGTGTTAATAGTTAGCTGATGTCTGTTAGAAAAATTTACAATTTTTATTAATTCTATGTTAATCATTTCATTAGTGACAGTAACATTCAAATCAGACAAAGAAAACCTTATTTGCGTATCATCTGCATATATATAAACTCTGCCATTGATAAGAGCCGAACTAATATTATTTGAGTAAATGCAAAACAAAATTGGTCCCAAAATAGAGCCCTGTGGCACGCCGCAAGCAATATTTTTAATATCAGATCTACCGGCACTTGTTTCTACAAACTGAGATCGATTAGAAAGATAGTTTTTGATAAAGTATTTTGCTTTAACCGAAAACCCAACATAATGAAGAATACTGAACAGAAGCTGGTGGTTAATTATATCAGAGGCTTTTGTATAATCTAAAAGTATTAAAACGTTTGTATTCCCTTTATCGATATCCCTAAAAATATAACCTCTAATAATGCTGATGTACAGCTGTAGCCACGTCTGAAACCAGATTGGCTGATTGGCAAAATATTGTAATTGTTGGTGTGAGACTCTATCTGATGTTTAATTACTTTTTCCAAAACTTTTGATAGCACTGATAAGATTGAAATGGGCCGTAATTCACTAAAACTACTGATAATATTCTTTTTAGGCAATGGAAAAATTTTTGTGACTTTCCAAAGGTCTGGAAAAATAGATTCCTTTATACAGGAATTAATAATATGCGTAATAAAAATTAAAATATACGGACAGCACATAAGAAGCATATTAATTTGCAAACCATCGATTCCTATAGCCTGTGTCTTAATTTCGTTTAAATACTTATAAATAGTATTTTGATTAACTGTTGAAAAACTTAGCAAGTTACGAAAGTTGTCTTTAAGATTATTACCATAGAAAAGTAGCAAATCTTTATCAGCCTCGGCATAGTTGCCAGATGCCAATAAAAAGTGATTGTTAATAACATTAGGAACATTTAGGTTTTCAGGTAACTTGGATTTTGCAGGTTTGGTATTTATATTTAAATTCTTAAGTTTTTGCCATATAACACGAGTGTTTCTACCAAACGTATCAACGCAATATTTCAGATAACCTTTTTTTTCATTTCTGATAGCCACCGTGGTAAAATTTTTTAATTGTTTGTAATATTCATAATGTGTTACATTTTTAGTTTTTTTATACTTGCTGAGTGTATTATCCCTTAATTTTAATAGTAATTTAATATTGTCTGTAAACCAAGGAGGCTTAGGTTTTTTTTAGCCTCATTCCTCTTACGGGTGCGATTGTATCAAATAGACCAGTTAATAAATGATTAAAATACGAAACTTTATCATTAATGTCCTGCATATGAAAAATTTCTTCAAAGGGGGTAGCATACAAAAAATGTTTGTCAACACCTTTTAGATTTCTAGTATGAATTATTTCGTCACCTCCATCACTTTGAAAATCTAATATACAATAAACAAGTTGGTGATTTGATGATGTATATATTTCCTTATTACCGTGGCTGTAAGATGTATATTGATTTGAGATTAATATATTGTCAATGAGGCTTTCAATCGTTGCTGTAATTCTTGTAGGTTCATTTATGATTTGCTGCATATGAAATAAATCGGTGCAATTATTAAATTTTATTACAATATTACAAGTACTATCTAAAAATTCAATGATCACGTCACCACCACAAATAATTTCATCAAATTGTGTATAAATATCGGCTAAAATTACCCCAAAATCTATTAAAAAACTACTTACACTTTTATCTGGAGGTCGGTATAGATTTCCAAAAGAAAATTTACGATTATTTACTTTGAAACTTACCCACAATTGTTCAACAGAATCCCTATAATTTAAATGTATAACAGTGTGCATAATATTCACTCTAATGTAAATAACCGTACCTCCACCTCTGGAGACTCTATTATTCCTTACAAGATTGTATCCCTGTATGTGTATAGTATGGTCTTTGATTAAACCAGGTTTCTCCAACTCCTATAACATCATAATTTTCGCGAAAAATAAAAGTTTTAAATTCATCAAATTTATTACATAGTGATTGTGCATTAAAAAAAGCAAAAGAAAATTTTTTCATAAAAATATTTAGTCAAAATTTCAACAAGTTTTATCTTCTCATCGATTCAGTAAATCAATAAAAAGAAGAAAATTTATAAAAATGCATGCATGAATGACCCCTGCAAATAATATTCAAAACCAAAATTGTAACTAATGGCAAACACAAGAACACAAATAATAAACCAATATTAAATTGTTACGCCCATGATTTAACACCTGCCAAGTAAAGTTCAATAAAATAAACAGAAATAATTTCAATCGATTAAAATATTTTTATCAGTTTAACACAAAAAAAAACAGATAAGAGTAACTGGTATACCTACTATAAATACAGAAATTTTTCAAAAATAAAATGTATATAGTCATTGTGATATGAGAAAAAACAAAAACATGATTGATGAATTATAAGCACTCATAGGAGTCAATGCGTTTTTTACACTATTTAAAAGAGCGAAGAGACGACCATCCTGAGTCCACACTTTATCTTTTCCATATTTTTAAATTAAAGTACTGCACTACTTTCTTCTCTAGACTATAGCTGGTATCATTGTATAAATATCTTGTATTAAGAAAGCTGTATTAATTTAAGACTGCAGCGCCATCAGTTTTCGACATTGAAACTACTCAAGAACTTATATTTTTAGATAGTTTCCATTTACCTACTTATATGTGTTTTTAACAGTATTTTTTTAATTTTGTTTTATATTAATGAAATTGTGTTAATTTTTAATGAATAATGACTGTTATAGTTTGTGGACACTTATTTTAATATATAGTTTTATGGGTATATTTTTATTTTATAAATAGTTATCCTTTACAAATTGAGCTAATATTATTCACTAATGTTAATTTTAGAAATTTTTTAAATAATTTTAGGTGTAATAAAGTTCATGAAGTATATTGGTGGAATTTTAAAACTGTATTATAAAACAAACATTTATTTATTACGAAGAATATTTTGACTTAATTATATCAGCAGCTTTTTCGGCTACCAGAACTACAGTCATAGCAGTATGTGTCGTAACTACAGTAGGGAATACGCTGGCATCAACAACTCTTAATTTTTTAACACCAAACACTTGTAATTTATTATCTACAACAGCTCCACTATATTTGCTTCTACCCATAGGACAACTTCTTATGGGGTGGTAAAATTCATCGGCCATATATCTAATGAAACAGTACCAATAGTTCTTAGATTTAAATTTTAAATGTTTACAAGGTGGTATTGGACCAGCTAGATACTGTGCATTTAATCTTCTATACGGCTTGGTTTGTATCAATTTTAAAATAAATTCTATACCTTGATACAAATTATTAATATCTTCATTATTGGGATCGCTTAAGAACCCTAAGTCAATGAGAGGATATTCAAAAGGATCTTTACTTTTAAGCCTTATAGTACCAACAGATTTCGGTGCAAGATCAATAATAGTAAACAAAATGTGACTTTCGTTATTACCCCATAGATACGGGTAAATATCTTTTTTTATTCTGTTTACCTTCCTATCATCACTCGATGGTGTCAATATTATTTGAACTATTTCAGTATTTGGTACGCTATTATTAGCATCTTTGAAGTTATAAAAACCCACAGATTGTGGTACTGTTGCTGACGTTAAAGTACCTCGTCCATTTAGGTAGTCTATTATTTGGTCATATAAGCTCTCTTTGGGTAAAGATACGTCTGAAGATACTCTTAAACCTATCGAACAATGATCTTGTAGGTTACTACCTACTTCAAGGTCTTGTACTAAATCAATACCGAGTTCTTCTAGGTGTTTTCTTGGACCAATACCGGATAGAATTAATATTTTTGGACTCGCTACGGCACCTGCGGATAGTATAATTTCTTTTTTGGCTTTGACTCTATGGGTAGTACCACTCTTCGTAAATAATACACTATCTGCTTCGTTTGTTCTATTATTAATTTCAATTTTAACAACATAGGCACCAGTGATGACTTTAAGATTGGGTCTTTTCAAAAAAGGTTTAATGTAGACAGTACCCATATCTTGTCTCCTACCGTTTTTAGTAGACCATTGAAAAATGGAGGTTCCCTTTGGATTGGGACCATTATAATCTGTTGCATGGTATCCAAATTTGTTAGTGGCTTCAAAAAAAGCATCGTCTAGGTAAAAATACGATAATCCGTGTTGGACTTGAATCTCGCCAGTTGTTCCGTGGTATTTTAAATCGACAGGAGCTCTTCTGTTAGTCCAGTGAAAGTGTTCAGATTTTTTGAAATATTTAAGTACATTTGTATATTTCCAGGACGGGTCTTGTGTTATTCTAGCCCATTGATTATAGTTTTCCGGGTGACCTCTACAGTACCCTGCGGCGTTTATTAGAGTACTACCTCCAACACCCTTACCTTGCGGTACTAAGCAAGATTCGTTTTCCAAACCTAAAAATAATAAATGCTAACAGAGATATATATACCGGCTCATTCTATATAGGCGGAACACTTGATTTATGGCTTAACTATGACTTGTACGACAATTTGACTTAGATAAAAGTTTTTGTACATTTTATGTACTATTTATTGACGTTTATAGATTTCCCGCAACGTAATGATTTTCAAGATATGACGTCATCGGGCAATATTTTAAGTGGATCACCCTGTATTTATATTTTTTTTCGAGTTCGTATGATCTGTCTGATTTCATCAATGGTACATTAAGTGGATCCCAGACTTACGGTCTTATAATAACAATTAAATTAGATTATACTTTAATAAGACACATTTTAAATATTTTAAATGGATCACCCTGTATTTATATATTTTTTTTCGGTTTCCTGACAATATCATAAGGCGATTTTAAATCAGATACTATGTCTTGAATATGATTGACTACACTGATATAAATCAAAAACAATGACATATTGAATATTGTCTTGAAATAGTCAAGTTTAACATGACTACAGTAAAAAGGTGGCCATCACAGGTATGAAATGAAATGACAAATGTAAAACTTTTACTTTTTAATTATTAAATCATTGTTTGGTTGTGTTATTTGTAAAATAGAAAGAAAGATTTACGAAAGGGAAAAGTGGGACAATAATAATAATAATAATAATAATAATAATAATAATCGTCTTTATTTCCATTAATTTAAAGTAAATACAATAAAATAATACATATATACACGGGCGAAGTTTATTTTTGGTTGTGCACTAGACACAACAAAAAATATTCTTCCACTTAACCCGCGAGTAAACCTGCATATAACCATAGAGCAATAGAGCAGAAATAAACAATCAAAGACAAAATATGTATATACCATATAACTATATCAAATAAATAAACAACTGTAATTTTAACATTTAACAAACAAATGAAAATGCACTTGTCTCAGGAAGGCTGAATCCAATGAAAAAAAAAACATAACTAAGTAGGGCAAAAAAAATATCAAAAACAACGACCAATGAAAGAGGGAAGTACAAATACGTAGCGATACAATAAACAACAATTTGTATGCAGTGAGGAAAATTGTTACTTAAATTTGATTTTCAAAAATGTGTATTTTAATTTAAATTTAAATTTAAAAATACTATAATTCTTGAATTCTGGTAATATTTTATTATAAAAGTAAGAGATGAGGTAACTAAATGACCGTCTGAAAAGTTCCGTCGTAAAAAAGGGAACAGTCAGTAATCCTCTGTTCCTTACATTTATATTATGGACATCTGAACGGTAGCTAATTTTGCGATGTAGGTAAGAGGGCTTCTTGTTCACAAGTAGCTTATGACATAAAGTGAGAAAGTGATGCTTTCTTCTGTTCTCCATATTTAACCAACGTATTTCTTTTAATTTATGAGATATTCTTTGATGTCTTCGTATACCAAAAATCATACGTAAACAAGAATTTTGCACTCTTTGCACTTTATTTTTGTAATTAAGAGTTAAATTGGGCCCATACAATACATCTGCATAATTAAATAAGGATAGTACTAGTGTATCACAGAGCTGTTTTTTAATGTGAATAGGAAATAAATGACGATTCCCATAAATCATCTTAATATTATAGTAAGCGCGTTGCAATAACTTATTTACATGCCTCTCAAATCTTAGTTCCGAGTCCAGAAAAACACCTAAGTTTTTTGCTTCATTTACTACTTCTAATTCATTATTATTAATAACAATATTTATCGAATTTAGCAGTTGTTGCCTATAATTTTTGTTACCAAATATCATAACTTTGGACTTTGTTGTATTAATAAGCAGACAATGATCAGTTGCACAATCGATAAATCTTTTTAAATCCTCATTTATAACAATACAAGCGTTTTCCAGTTCATGTGACTTAAAACTATAATAAAATTGAGTGTCGTCAGCGTACAAGTGGACACTGCAGTTTTGTATTTTATCCAAAAGATGAGAAGTATAGATACTAAATAATATTGGTCCCAGTATGGAGCCTTGTGGAACACCTGACCTTAATGATAGATAGTCTGAAGTAACCCCTTTAATAAATACTTGCTGCTGTCTATACTTTAGGTAGTTTCCCACTAAAGAAGCAGCATTATTCGAAAAACCTATATAATTTAGCATATTAATCATTAAATCATGATTTATGGTATCGAATGCTCGACTGAAGTCTAACAAAACTAGTATTGTGCATTTTCCACCATCTGTAGCTTTTAAAATGTCATCTGTAATATGGAGTAACGCAGTAGTGCAACTAAAAACTTTTACAATAGCTTTCCTCCACGCAGTCGGAATGACACATTCAGTTATACAAAAATTTATTATGTGGGTAATGTATGGTATTATATGTGGACAACATAATTTAATT